GGCACAGGACGTGGATTGATGTTTCCTCTTCTTCTTCATATATCCTGCACAATTTTGCTCCTTCTGCTGGATTAATGACACTCATGTGTATTCTTAGGCGACAGTGTCTGTAAGAAGACTTACTGTTATCCTAACGATTTGACGTTTTTGATCTCCTAGACTAGCCTACGGGCTGGTATTTGAATTTTAAAGTTTTTTTCAAATTTGTATGTAGTTATGGCTATATCAGTAGGCATTCCTAGAATCTTATTATTTTTTACTTGCTGATATAGCCTCGTATGATCAGTGCTATGTAGTTGCTTATTGGGTTTTGTCCCTGCATTAGCCTGTGAATAACAGACTTAATTTTTTCAATTATCACAGTAGTACTAGTTTGTAAAGAGATGATGTTAACACAGAATTAATCTGAATATGACCAGAAGGGGTGGCACAAAATTGATCGAAAAACATTTTATCTAATTGGAAATTTGATCGAATGACATTTGATCGAAAATACATTTGATCGAAGATATATTTTATCGAATAACATTTTATGGAAAAGACAATAAATCGAAAATTCATTAGATCGAAAGGACAATATATCGAAAATCAAAATTAAAAATAGTAAAATATCGAAAAATCAAACGATACCATTCAACCGTCTGTCTAATCTCTACTACCGGGGAAACTAAACTAAGCGGCTATCAAAATTTGGTACTAGTGGCAAATTTGTCAATAATCTCAAATGATAGCTACCTAGTTTAACAAATTGTATTCTTACAATACTGTTAATTTAAAAATAATTATATTAGAGCTAAACGGTTATTCATAAAAAATAAAAAAATAAAGAAAACTTAACTAATTTACCTAACCTGTGCGCCCTGGAGCAATTTAACTTGCTCTGACACAGATTAGGTAAGTAAGGTAAGTTTTTTTAAAAACCTAACTTGTGCCAGAGCAATCAGTTAAATTGCTCCAGTCTGGAATCGTTGCGGTTTGCCTCGCAAAAAAAATTATAAAAATAAAAAAAAAATTATTTACCTAACTTGTGCTATTCAAATTTAACTGATTGCTCTCGTACAAATTAGGTAAAATAGGTACGTTACTTAAGTTTATTTTATTTTTTCATTTTTTGTTTTTGCGAAACAACCAGCGATGATTCTTGGCCGCACAGGTTAGGTAAAATAGTTAAATTTTTTCTTTCAATTTTTCTTATTTTTCTATAATTTTATGAATATTTGGTTTTTCGATCAATTGCTTTTTCTATCAAATTTATTTTCGATCAATTTTCTTTTCGATCATTATTCTTTTCGATCATTTTTCTTTTCCATCAAATGTTTTCGATCAATTTCGTGCCACCCGACCAGGGGTAAAAGGTTAAATAGTGTAAAATTTGGTCCACAATATAGTCGCATAATTTGTTTGGTTGATTTATCGTTGATTTATCTATTAACCAAATCACCATTTAGTGTTCAATGTATCTGTTTAAAATTCAACTCCAGTATGAAATTAAAGTGAAAAAGCGGGTAAACTCAAAACTGGAACGCCTACCAGAAATCTAATGATGCTATTAATTGAACGACATTCCCTTGCGACCCTAATTGCTATTCGATTATTCCAAATATGATTACCTCACGTAAAATTAATCAAAGTTCAACCAGGAAATGGAATATTTTACAGATTGCGACTCACGACTGGGTGTTTTAATTTAATACATATTGTATCGGTTATTTCTTGGAAGTATCTAAAGTTGTTTTTAAAAACAATTAGGTATTTTTATACCATTTTACTCACGAAGAAATGTATAACATCTAAATGAAAAAAATAAAAACAGAACATTTGTTCTTTCTCTTATTATATCTCAATAAATATATTGTGATGGTATTTAGTTGTCAAATTTAAAAAAAAAAAACATTTTTATTGCACTCTATATGATATAAAATGTGAGTTTAGACGTCAAATATAAATAAATATGTTTTTAAAGGTTTACTTTGTTGTTAAATTTTTTTAATATGTGAGAAAATTGTAACATCAAATCATCATCTTTTGTGACAACTAGAAAAGATAATTTGATATATAATTTATTTTATTAGGAAAAATAAATAAGGGAGGTAGACATCTTGAAATTTTAGAGAAAAAAAAGTTGGCTTGGAAAAATAAAGCCAAAAGATTTAAAAAAATCACAGTATCAAACAATTTCCCATGTATGAACGAGAACTTCAGAAACGGTAAATAAATCAAATGTATCCCGTTTTAACTAATTAAATAATATTAAAGTAGGCATACCTGGTAGAATTGAACTTTTCTTTGTGAACCTTGTAAAAAGGTATTGCTTCCAATTTGCCTTGAAAATTCAAAAAAAGCACTAGGATATATTTCTGGATTTGTGTACAAAACAAATCTGATTTTGCATGGTATAATCTACTAATGGAAAATTATGTAATGTACCACAGAAAGAAAAGGAATATCTGGTAATGTTAGTCTTAGCAATACTTACTTTGAAAATATCCAAGGAAATAGGTATAATATTTTGAAAAAGAACATTTTTCTTTAAAGTTTTGAGACATAATAATAAACAACAATTCTGTAGTGTAATTCAATCCGATTTGTTGATATCTGTGGAATTATTAGTGGTTTCTTTTCGTCTAGCACAAAAAGATTTTCCCTTTTTTAAAGATAATTATTTTGTCTATTCTCCGATAGATGGAGATAGTGGTACGACTTGATTTAAATTAATGTATTTTTTAGATTTAACCATTTTAGAATAGTTATTTTAAGAACGAAAGAATCATCGATGATTTTGAAGAATTGATGTTATAATTTTAAATAATTAATCCTTATTTAAATACAGTTTGAGGAATTATTTATAACATTAATTTTTAATAAATATAAGTAATATTAGCTTGTTCCAACTAGGTATAAAGACTTAGGTAGGTACTTAAAGAAAACTTATTTTACCTTGTCAAGTAATTTTTATTTAATTTTGTTTTGTTTATGTGAAATAAAAGTTTCCAGCAGGAATTGTTTGATAAAAACAATCAGTTTTATTACATAACAATTTATACTATTCACGTCAAATATAACCCAACCGTGAGATAAAAGTCATTGAAATGTAAACTACACAAAAAAAATAAAATTATAGCACAAGAGCCCACTACAAATTTTTACCGTCATCTGATAACGAAATGAAATATACCCCAAAAGCATGTAGAAACATTGTACTTTACCAAATGGCACCTGTGCCAATCCCAATCCTGAGCAAAATGGTTGAAAAAAATAGATATCTTTATTATAAAAAATATCGTTGTTGGCCAGACTACAATTACGTACGAACATCTATGTTACGACAAGAATTTGAAATACCCTCACTAATTAATACACGGAAACAGTTTATGATGATATTTCTATACAAAATTTTAAATAACCAAGTAAACTCAAATGATTTACTGCTTATACCATTTGATGTTCCTTCTAGGCGCACTAGGTCTCCCTTTGTATTCAATATATCCAATAGCACCCTAAAATCTCTTCTTTGTATTTCGACTCGCAAATAATTTTAATTCTTTGTGTAACTTTCACTGGCATTACAAACAATATCACAGAAATCTTAATGAGTACCAGGAGCGTGCGGTCCATGGAAGCATGGGAAGCACCGTCGTTTTCCTACACTTTGAGTTTTAAAAATAAATATTTTTCAGTTTACAATGCATAGAAATTAATATTAAATTAGGCACTATATTTTCTCTGAAACATTACGTAAACTTCGTAAATGTACTAACAATTCATTGGTATAATGTGCAAACGCCCGCACCACCCATAAGAAAATTAACTGTGTAAACGCACACAACATATACTTCGAGTCCGTCGGCTGAAGCGCGTCTTGAAAAAGCCGGCTCATCATCCAATTGATTTCGCTTCGTGTTATTGACTCTGCTTTGCCGCGACAGTAGTCATTTTTGGACACGTGAAATACTTTCGAGAGGCAGCGATTTTTACGTCGCCTTACGCATATTGCAATTCGCACCGCGAATCGACGTGTGAGGAAAATCGTAGACTTCAGATAGATTTCGGTTTGTTTTTCGTAGTTGTATTTCCTTTTGTAAAATGAAGGAACTATGCACTGTGCCTGTGAACAATAATAATGTGGTAAATTGTGTCTGTAGTGTGTGCTCTTTATTGAAAAAAGGATTTTCAATTAGAAATTTTGAAGAGAAAAGGGACATTATTAATTCTAGTAGACTATAGGATCCTATCAATTTAGAGACGAAAGTAGAAAAGTCAGAAAAGAAATTTACCAGGAATTTTCACGTATGAAAAGTATGAATGGTTAACAGGCTGCAAAACTTTAAAGAAATTGTTTTGCTGGCCTTGCCTACCTTTTAATATAGCCGAAAAAACACATTGTAACTCAGTCGGTATTACAGACTTGAATAATTTTCACAAAAGTGTATAACGACATGTAAATAGCAAATCTCATATAAGTGCTACAATTAAAGAAAAAACATTCGGGACCTATCGCATTAAACATAGTTTGGAGAATCATTTAAAAATAAGCAACAAAATTCACAATGAAAGGGTAAAAAAATAGGGACGTCTTACAACGATTAGTAGATGTAACTTGTTTCCTGGGAGAGCATGAACTTTTAGGGGTCACAATGAAGTAAGTGGATCTGCCAATCGAAGAAATTACATGGACCTTCTAAGTTTTTTAGCAAAATACGATCATTTTATTGATTCGACGACTTTCCAAGGTACCGCAAACAAAATCCAAAATGATTTAATTAAATGCACTGCCGACGTTGTGATGGATCACATTAAAAGTGAAATTAAAAAAGCACCTTTCGTATCAATTGCGCTGGATGAAACCACCGATGTAGCAAACTTATGTTAATTATTCATTGTTGTGCGATATGTATTGGATGGCATTCCTCAAGAGCGATTCTTAGGATTTTTGGACGTCACTAGCGAACGAACTGCAGATGCATTGTTTAAAATTGTTTGTGACATTATTTCATGTTTAGACTGTGGTTATAAGCTTGTTGTCCAGAGCTACGATGGTGATGCCGTAATGGCTGGCCATTTAGGAGGCCTTCAAGCTAAAGTGAAAGAGATGTTTAAACATGCAATTTTTGTTCACTGTATAGCACATAGACTTAATTTGGTTTTATCGCGAAGCATGGATAATATTAAAGAGTGCAAAGTTTTCTTTTCGGCGCTTAGTGGTTTGGCTTCTTTCTTTTCAAAGTCATCGCAAAGAACTCGCGCTTTGGACATTGACGTTCAAAAAAGGTTTCCAAAAGTTGACCCGACGCGATGGAACTACAATGGACGTTTAGTGCAAACAGTGTTTCAATACCGTGATTCTTTGATACACTTTTTTCAAGACGTTTGGGATAATAAAGAAACATGGGATGCTCAAACTGTTACTGGCGCTAAAGGGTATTTGCATTGTCTCAAACAAAACTTTGACTTCAATTTTTTGCTCGACATTTTTGCAGAGATTTTCACTTTTACTGACATTTTATTCGACATTTTACAGACAAAGTCAAGTGACATTGGCTTTTGCATTAAACAAATTGATGATTTTAAAAATAAAATGAATAAAAAACGAGATCAGTTTGAACACTTTTGGAATAAGACTCAAAACATTGACTTAGAACCTGAAAGAAAGAGAATTAGAATTGATAATGTCGGCGACAGAGAGACCTCCTATCGTCGATTATACGCCAAAATTTTTGATAATATTTTACAACAAATGAACTATCGATTTCAAAACTTTAACGAATTAGTAACTACGATTCATCAAAATTTCCATCAGAAGCTTTTAATTCACTAATATTAAATTATGGCAATTTTTTCGATATTCCAGCATTAAAGTCCCAGTTAAGTGTTGTTTATGAAACAATTGAAATTAATGATAAAAAGACGCCCATCAATGTGTTGAATTCTCTTATAACAACTGGTTTAAATAAGTCCCTTTGTGAAGTCGTCAAGTTTTGTGAATTAGTACTAACCATCCCAGCCACAAGTGGGTCAGTTGAGCGAAGTTTTTCAGCTTTAAAGCTCATTAAAAGTTTTATACGAAATTCAACAAATGAAGACAGACTCTCTAATTTAGCCCTTATATCCATTGAAAAACAGCTTGTTAAACAGTTATCAGAAAATCCAAAATTTTACGATGATGTTATAGACAAATTTGCAGCCCTTGAGAACAGGCGGATAGATCTCAAGTATAAATAAATGTCAATTGCTGTGTCAACTGTGCGAAAAATGCTGGAAAAATAAAAAAAAATGCTAAGTTTTTTTATAGCTTCTAGTACTAAACTAGGTAATAAAGTAATAGTAACACTTCAAAAATCTCAATCTCGAATATCCGTAGTACTGAGGAAAAAAACAAGATTTTGACAAAATGGTGAATGGCCCGTGAAAAATTTTCGCCTGCGACGCTGTGCTTACTGGCCTACTGTATCGCTTCCCGTTCCAAAAATGTCACCGCACGCCACTGATGAGTACCTTAATGTTTTAAGTATTTAAATATGTATGTGTCTGCTGATTGTTATGAGACTTTATAGTCTTGATATTCAAACCCATTCATACAAGTAAAAATGTAAAGTGTCATAATAACATAAGTATGATTATATTGTATTTGTATATTATGTACGAGTATATGGTGCTACTCATTTAATAAATAAATAAATAAATAACTATTTGTACCGCCTATGGTTTTTATTGACTTATCTTTTAAACGACGTAAAATAGAATGAAAGAAAATTGGATTTTTACATTTCTCAAAAACTAGCAAAAATTTAAAAATTTTGAAGGTTGATCTAAACTAAGAATCTATGTAAAACTACTTCTATTTAATTAACCCTATAGCTCTTATAGTTACTGATATTTCAATACATTGAGTTGATTACTATTCTTTCCAGTTCGGTAACCTATACCAACTTCCTGTAGCAAATTGTTTTCAGTTTAAATATAATCCCGGTTTTCATAAACCAAAAATTTTAATCAAAAATAAAAATGGGCGCGTTTCAGTTAATAATGAATTTTGATTCATTTCTTTTGCACGAAACTGTATAAGCAAACAAATCGACACAACGGACACAGTGAACAATTTTCTAGATAATACTTATATTAACACTAAAACTTGTTCGCCATCATAGTCACACGTCAAATTGTACCTACACCTTCTTGGCAGCTCTTGCTCTTTCTATATGGCAAACGAGAAATGGCTGCAGTTATTACAAGGAATTCCTTCGCGTATTATGAACATTTCCTGTCTTGCTCGTTCTCTTTGCTCTCTTTATGAATGTTTTATTGGCTCAAATTAAATTTTGAGAGTAAAATAGTGTGGCCGAGAGACAACTTTACTTTGAATTTATGTGTTCTCCAGGTGCGGAGAATTATAGAAGCGATCCCAGGTCGTTCGGTTTGCGAAATTAAAATTACGACTTCGTCGATTACGGTTATTATTAAAATAAAGCTGGAATCAATCTCGAAAATTTTTGACGACAATTCCACTCGTATGTAGAAACACTAAAATCGTAGTTTGCTGTAAGCTAAAGAGAAAGGAACCGAAAAGCAAGTGGATAAATATGATTAATCATGCAATACCAGATTATCAAATTTTAGACAGACATAATTGGACATTTTCTTGGGAAATTCTAACTATGTATGGTGGATTCTTTAGGAGATATTCTGTTTGCAATGAAAAATCACCATAACAACTTTTAAATTAATAAATTCATTCTTTCAAAAGTACTTAAAGCTACGGTAGTAGCCGGTTCCCAAGACAAATAAAGCTACACACTTAAGGCCTATTATTAGTATATTAAGTTGTACCAAAAAAATATTGAGAAGGTCGTTTATTGTTATTTATTAGAACAGCATAACTTTTTACTAAAATACAATCGGGCTTCAGAAGCTAGCAAAGCTGCGAATCAACTGTTCAATGTGTTTTATATGAATAATATAATAATAATAATGTTTATTCAGTAAGCCAATATAATACATAACAATATATTGTAGAAAATATTAAAAAAACAATACAAAAGAATTAATAATACAATAAAAAAAACGTCCCAAAAATATGAGCTTACTGAAAAGCACATATTCATCGTCAATCATACAAGATGAAAGAAGATGGTTTTCAATATATCCAGATATAAATAGTATAAAAGGAAATGATAAAGATTATATTAAAAAATTCCTCAAAAAGAGAGAAAACCCAAATTAATTAATACAATACCTACCTAATCAATTTATGCAAAGCATCAATGAAAATATTTTTTGATAAATTTTAAATGTTAAATACCACCATGTCACCATTTAATAGAAAACATTTTATTTTACGCTTTGATGTACTTACAGACACGTGTTTAAGTTCAGGGGAGACAAGCTTAATTATTTTGTAAAATACGTAAGTAAAAGAGCTTTCAAACATTTTAGTCTTGTGTTGTGGGATTGATACAAAATTTCTTCTACGGATATTAAGATTATGTACATCACTTCTGAATCTTATCTTGTTATATAGATATTATTACGTTTAGCAAACCAATTAATCAGTCAGCTTAGACTAAAGTCGTTGTTATGCCCGGAAGAAAATAAATAATGTGCCACTGCTGATATTGTTCAGTTTTATGCTCAGGGGGTGGGTTAAAATAGTGGTTACTTCCTGAGTCATATATATGTGTGGGTTATCTGCTGGGCGCCACCGAATTTTACTAAAGGCTTAAGGCCGATCCCACAGCACGATTGAAACGTCTACAAAACGCGGAAAATAAAAGAAACAATTCAATCAGTAATACGTTTCGTATAAATTTCATACTAAACAGTTGATACAACGCACGTTAGCCCGTATGATCATACACGCCGTACAATGTTAGAGAAATAAATAATTAAATTCAAGATTATACTAGTGGTTTGGGTTTCAGCCAAACTACGACACAAGCGAGTGTTGTTACAATAAAAGAAAAGTAAATAATAATTAACTATATCAAAAATGTTCATATAACCACACCAATGTCAATAAATTTATAATAAAAAATTGGTAGTGAGAATCGTAAATAACAAAAAAAAATAGGTGTGGCACTCGGGGACTGCCACGGTAAAGCTTTTGCATAGCATTTTTTATCAACTTATGCAATTATAATTATTTATTTTATTTATGCAGTATTTTTTTTCTTTGATATTAATTCAAGTTTTTTCTTTGATATTAATTCAAGTTACACTTTTTTATCGTGGTGACCGATAAGAAAACAATGTTTTTTTTTTTTTATTGAATAAATGAGAAGTTAATAAATATTGTTTAAAATATTTTTATTATCTTACAATACATGTAGGTTATTCAGGAATTTTTATCATTGAAACTATAGGTTCATGGTAACTGAAATAAGAAACATAAGTTCTTGTCTGATATAGTTAAATCATGTTTGTGATTTGGTATCGTGTTAGTGCATATTCGACGAGTTTTATTTATAGTGTAGTATATTAGATACATTAAAAGTAGTTTATTAAATAATTGGACATTAAAATATTTTAAAAAAAGTCTCTATAAATTCGATAAAACCAATTGTAATTGGAGAATTCCATTGTTACAATAGTTATGGATGCAGAGGCCGGTGCAAGTGGAGGAACCCAATTACGACGGCGAAAGCCCGTATCAAAAGATGAGAAGAACATTATATGGAAAGTGTACAATATGCTGAAACAGATACTTTCTACAAATGAAGCTGTAGACCGTTGTTCTTTTTTTAACTGGAGTATTTGTTTCAACAGTTGAACGCGTTGTATGCTAAATTACAAATACAGGCTCCTTACAAGCTCTTAAAACGCATACCCTTGGTCGAAAACACCTGAAATATGACTAATAATATAAAGAATTGTTGAGGGATTATCTACAGATTTAAAAGGACCATCAAGTAAATGACAGCGCCTAATTGTTACTTATATCGGAAGCGACAGTAACATTTTAAAAACAACGCTTTGTTTATATACAAAAAACAGGAGACTAACACGAGTACATGAATGCAGAATGCTTTAAAAAGTGGTTTACTCTTTATTGTACTGAATAACGCTTCTTATCACAGCTGACGAGTTGAACGTATTCTGACCATGTCCAGTAGAAAAGCAAATATACAAAGCTGGCTTCGGGATAAAAAAATAAGACTTACTAAGGCGATGCAAAAGTGGAATTAATGGAGCTTATAAAGGTGCAACGCTGTAAATATATTCAATATGTTATCAACACAGTGATCGTGATATTACGTTACTAAGGCTTTCCCCTTATCATTGCGAATTCAATCACATTGATCTAATTTTGGCGCAAGTGAAAGGATTTGTGGTACAAAAAAACAATACATTTAAAATAGCCGACGTTCAGCGTTTATTAAAAACCGGTATAGAACGTATAAAACCTAAAGATTGGCAGAATCCTATTTCTCACGAAATTGAGGAAGAAATTAATATAGGGCATTTGAACGGTATGAGTGAAACGGTGTTTGAACTTTTAGTCATAACTTTAAGTGTAGACGATAAAGACGATTCCAGTGATAGTTCTGCAGAATCAATGGATACTTACTTATAAATTCAGAAGTCATGTAAGTGATAGCTTTATTTAGAGATTTTCACAATAAACAAAATATAATCATAAACATAGATGATTATTACAACAAAAATAGATAACGAACCTACTTTCATCTAGGATTTACCAAACAGTGGTAAAACCCATGGTTACGTACGGCTCTGTCGTCTGGTGGGACAAGGGACTCCAACGGACGGCCAGAGCAAAGCTGGCTGGAATACAGCGGCTTGCGTGCCTCGCCATAACTGGAACAACGTCAACTACACCTACGGGAGCCATGGAGACCATGCTGAACCTAACCTCTCTCCACATTCTGCTGGAAAGAAAGGCCAGAATGGTCTCCTACAGGCTCCTGAAAGTGGGTAGTCAATGTTACGAAGAACTGCGACGGGACAAGATAGGGCTGATGAGTGAAATTAATAACCACCTCATCCTCGGCATGGTCTCGGACTCGCTGGTTCCCCGACAGCACATAGAAAGGCCATACAGCGTTCTCATTCCGGAGAGAGACGCATGGAGTAGAGGGGAAAAACCCTCTCCCAGGCAGACTATGCGTTGTACACGGATGGCTCCAAAACTGAAAAAGGAGTAGGAGCGGGAGTTTTCGGCCAGAGGCCTAGAGTTGACATATCAATCGATCTTCCA